ATGAGAATCGCGCAAACTTGGGGGACGAAGGTGATTCCTTGGGATTAATCAAGCGTTAATTAAGACTAGAGCGGCTGGCTCCCAAGGCCTCTTCTCGTCGCTCTCTCGCTCCTCGCGATGTTGGGAGGGAAATTAAGCAAAGATGTCGCAGTGCCTAATGCCTCGGTCGGTCGTAAGGATCGCGCCGGCGCTACGTGAAGCCTAAACTCGTAAACAGCTTCGTTATTTAGGGGATGATAATTGACCGTTTCGCTCACCCCCGTCGCGCTAACTCCACGAATCTCCCGAAACAGTGGAAAGCGACGTCGACGAGTCTGGGAAATTCGCCAATACGCTGGAGCGCAGTCGATGTTTATGAGACACGATTCTCCTTCTTCTCTTCTTTCTCTCCTCTTGTGGAAAGGGAATACAGAAACGAAATTCGATACGCCATTGTTGTATGTCACACGAGCATAATCTCGCTTATTCGCTCCCATGATGGATACATACGGTGCATTCAAGTTTATTGCCTGACAAGTCGATATTAATAACGGTAATCAATTCTTTCGTCTGAGTATTGATATATTTTTAATAATAAACAACCTTAAAAACAAAGAAGTTGTTGGTGTGTAAAGGAAGAAATTTATTTATTCTTTATAATACTTTAATTTACTACCTATAATCTTATTTATCGTCTGATTATTTTTCTGTTATACACGATGAATAAATTACAATTGTATATTTTTAACGCTTTTTATCAATGAGTGTAATTTTATGTATTTGTTAAAATCATTTTTAATTTAAAGCTGTGATATATAAAAATATCTAGTTATTTTTAAAATTATAAGTACCTTACGATTTATACAACTGCAATTTTAATAATCTTTTTAATAATAGCTTTATCAAATATAAAAGTATCGTCTATATTCGTTGACAATCCTGCCAGTTGGCTAAGTTGCGGAATGGATTTTCTCCGCAAGAGAGGGAGGATACAGTGTGTCGGCTAAAAGCATTTTTGCGTCGGCCATCATGGGGCTATCATCCACCATCGATTCGCTTTATTCATAACTTTCGTTGACCGTTACTGTAGTCGAGGATACTTTCTTTTTATCTATAGACTAGCTTTCATCATATTGACGTGTTGATAAAAGTGATTCAAGTAAATAAGTTAATATTTTTTGAGATAATAAAGGGAAATCCTAAAAATTAATATATTTTTGTAGAAAATTGCATATTTGTTGAGATATATGTTTTTGTGAAAACAGGAAAAGTGCTCGCTTAGAGAATTAAACATTACCATTTGTACACATATACATTAAAAACTTATATTAATAAAAAATCTTACATTAATTAATTAGTAATAACCAAACGAAAACAAAATATATATTAAGTAAAAAAGAATGTTATTTAGATATTTTATTATGCACACACACACATACGACAATATTCTTTAATCATAATATATTATATTTTAATATATCTGAAATAATAAAGGGAAATGTTTATAATGTTATAAATAAAGATTCTGTATTGTGAATACCTTGTGTGGTTTTATTAAAAAAAACAGATAAATTTCTATAGAAAATCTGAATGATTGATAATGATATGGTGGTTGATATTACTACGTTTTTTGGTAGATCGTTCGAAGTTTCGATAAAGATGCGTACGTCGCCGTTTAGAGTTCATTCAGAACGAGAATCTGTCCATTCAGAATGAGAATCGTGTCTTGTCAAGCAGCTTCTTTTCCATTGGACATCTTCGATAAAACCTAAACGATGTAGAAAAACCTTTCGTGGACTTTGCTTTGTTAGAGGTGTGAGATTACAAAGGAAGAGAAGGAAGGTGAAGGAGGCGATCGCGTGTTTTGTGTATTGGGACAATCCTGTGAGCCCCATGTCGATCTATTCGAGGAATCTACCGATGTTCTGCAGATGATCCGATGGACAATGTTACAGTTTAGGCCTTTACTTACCCGATCTTTTTGTCAATGCATGAACAGCTTTCAGCGATCAAGTTTTGCAAATACTTTCTGCTTGTTTCGGAAAAATCCGACTCGCGGAATTTTTAGATTCTATAATATTGATAGAAAGGTTGGCTATCTGTCAAACCATATTTTATAAAACTTAATATATAATAATATATAATAACCCATAGTTGCTAATATATCAACTTATAAATATCAATTTTTATTATTAATTTTTTTCTTTATCATATCATCCTTTATTATTATTAAATAGTACAGTTATTTAGGTTATACAATGTGTGAACTCTATTACTAAAAATACAATAAATATTTTATTTATATAGGAAACCGCGAGATTTTCAATATTATATACAAAGAGATTGTATTGTTACCCGCGACGTATTAAGACGTTTCGTGCATGCGACGATACAATTTCTAGCATTATAATTTTCTGTTTCGTCTAGAATAGCGCGGCACGATCACGAGAGATATTCGGGCAGACAAATCTGTCCTACGAATTGTTAGCACATGTCCGCGTATGCCGACAAAGCGGACGAAACTTTCCTGCTGGGTCGTTAAAGCTAGTGACGAATCTATCTTTCTGTCCTATCCGCATCTCAATTTTCTTGACAAACGTCGGAAATGCGGTCAAAAACTTGCCGTAGCAATTTGAGTGTATACCTTATAAAAATAGTTAAAAACTTAATGATAGATAGTAACGTTTATTGAAATTTAATGTAAGGTTTCTTACTGCCAACATTGTTATCCATATCTGTGTTTGTGAATGTTGGATTTAGCTATGCTAAAATACTTTTTCAGATTAATATCCATTTCTATCAATGTAATTTAATTTTGATCTCGATTTAATGAACTCTTTTTTTAGTTGTAAAAATTGGAGAAAGATGAAGTGCAAGTTGAACCGAGATTAAAGTTAATCTAAATTGATAGAAACGGGCATAAATGTAACAAAATGCATGGTAACGTTTTACGCACCACATTTCATAGATTTGTCTTTAAATTGCTATCCTGTAGTCTGTTTATCTTGTCATATATCTTCTAACATCATTTTTTTGTAAATAAGCAATTTATCATTCTCTTCGCAAAGAAGTGCGCTGCTACGCCAATGAACAAGTTAGCGCATCATTGTCGTGGGCGAGACTTCAGGACAGATCCTAATCTGTCGTGTAACCTAGTGAGAAGTCCCATTGTATCTTTCTCGTCCAGGTTCGTGCCCATCTTCCAAAAACTCACGTTAATGGTCCCCGGTAGCAAAGTAGCCATTATGACCATCAAGGATTCGTACCGCCTTGATTCCTTTTCATCGTCCTTTACCAAACTGTCCTGTTTCCCATTCGGTTATTGTAGACTGTCACACGAGTTTTTCAACTGCACTACGTGAACTAATGTATCAAGGTCCGATATTGAAAGTGATATATTCGTTTCCATTCATGTGCTTATATATGTGGATTTATTATATTTATATATATGAATCTACTTATCTAAATTATCTCTTTACTTCTTTTTTCTGATTTTATAAAAAATTCTTAATGCCAATATATTAATTTTCTTATGACTCTAATGTAGAAAACTTAAATTCCTTAATTAAATTCCAATTTCTAAAGTTTTATAACATACAATTGGAAATTTTATATAATTTTTTGTATTCAAAATACTAAAGCAATTTATATAAAGTAGAATATAATTAAATATGTGTGTGTGTGTATGTGTGTGCGTGTATAAACTGAAATCCGTACAAAAATAGCCGCAGAAATGCGCTTCGCGTTTTATAGATTTTAACTAAAGCTTAGAAATGAGGTGAAAGGATCACAAAAGAATAGGAAGATGGAGATTTAACTATAAATCGGAAAAGAGCGACGGTACGTGAATGAAAAGGATAAAGTGTCAAAGTGAACCAAATGTCTTGCGGTTCATCTGATGTTTTTGAAATCTGGTAGGATTATTTATAAACTGCATCTTAAAACTTCCTGTGTAGAAATTATATCGTTATTTAAAAAGACGTCTGACCAGGATTATTTACCTGCAGAACTAATCCTTATCCACCCGTGAGATTTATTGATTTTTGTGAATGCATACTAGTTGTACTTAAGACCAGCAGGTGGTGCAAGCCTACGGGTCAATTCATATTGCAAAAAGATACGAGAATGTCATTGATATTACTAATAATTATAAATTTTACTTGTCATAGAAATTATATTTTTCTACAATATGAAGAACTCATTAATGTATCTCAATTTTTAATCGAGAAAATTCAATCTGTATGAATTAAAAGAATAACACCAAGATAAAAGGAAAAGATTTTATATTAAATCTTCACAAACTGTACAATCACGGAACAATAATTATAGCTACATTAAGTCGTATTTGATTTAAAAAATGAGTCTTTTGTTAACTTGATGATCAATACAACTTGATGATCAATACAACTTTAATGGTCAAAATATTTTCGTAAATGGTGAAGACAACGGGTTCATGATAGAAGTGCAAAATGTATTTTACCACACGAGGTGAGGGTGACGAGGAGAATGTTCGTAGCTTCCCGTTGGCATAAATGGGGTGTCCAGGAACGACGCCGACGCATCGGGGTGAGACGCTTGGCCGGCCAAGCGTCGCGGGGCGTCGAGGCCGCGCGCTAGACAATTGAAAAAATCACTTGTCTCGCCCTAAAAGTAGGGATATTTCGTGGATGCTGGAACAGGAAGTCAGGGTAGACGCAAGGGCGATGAGAGGATGATATCCGTGAGCGACAGTCCGTTAAACGCAATGTTCCGAGTCCAAAACGTTGCGGGTTTCTCACCGCCACAAACGTACAGTACTTACGTGCCGTTTCGCGCGCGTGCACTGATCCAATTCAAAAAATAATTTTATCTCACTTACATTTACAATGAAATTGTACTAGCATAGAAATCAAATATTTTATTTTAATAAAAAAAAGTGCGAAAGTTGATTTTAAGTTTTTTCGTATTCACAATATAAACAAAATTTCTTTTCTTATCAGTATAAGGAAAATTTTATAATGTAATGTTTACGGGTGTTTTAGGTTCGCATAGCGGGCAGTGGAGTAAGAGGCTGGTTGGATGCATCTCACGAAACGAACAATTGGCTAAAATACATACGAAGTACGGCTAGCTCACACGCAGTGAATATGCGTCACGTACTTATCGGTGGTCAGGTAAGCACAATTCAATAATGGAGAATTTAGGGTAATTAAAGCTCGAAAATTAACAATGTAATATTTCGATATAAAATACAGCAAGAGAAACAGGATCTGTGAAGCTAGCACGACATTCTGTCTTGATATCAAAAAAATTACAACAGTAGCATTTTTCATAGTTCTACAGTTCCTTATAAAAATAAACAATAGTTCTGGATTTACAATATTAAAAAATAAAAAATAAAAATATGTCGCGCGTGCTAAATTCTTGAAGTTAGTACGACATATTTTCATTTTTAATTTTTTAGTATTGTAATTGTGATACTGTTGTAATTTTTTTAATATCGACAGAATGTCGTGTTAGCTTCACAGATCCAAGAACATGTATCTTTTCTGTTGTGCGGTATTATTAACTCTCTAAATTTAAGATATATCATAAAACAAGAAAAAAATTGTTGGCTAGAACAGCAAAAATAGACAACGTTAATAACCAATTAAAATCCACATTCGCCTATTTCGTAACCCACTTTAGAGCGGCGCAAAAACACGCGTACAGATTGGCGGTAAGATAATTTTGCAGAGTTATTGGTATCACTAATCGACATCTGCGATCTTCAGTTTCGATCCGAGTGCCTTGTACACACGCTTATAGAAAGAAATCTTTCACTTTTCTTCGCTTCTCGTGTGCGAGTGGCATGCACAAGTAATTATTCCGCATTAAAATTGTATTATATATTAATGAATACTAGAAATATATATACACACACACACTTGCAATTGATGATAATTTATAGGATATTAGAATAAGCACGGATTACATATACCAAATTAACTTATTCTGTTTAAATCAAATGCAAAAAGATTTTTTAAACTTTATCTTCATAATTTTTTATACTCGTATATTGAGAGTAATTTTAAAAATACTACGAAAAGATTAAACTGATCAGAATTGTTACATGATTGTAAAAAGAATAATCCCCTTTCACACATTTGGCAGCCACTCTCTGATTCACCCTGTTTAACTTTTGTACGCAACTGACACCCGATCGACAGTTGCAGTTAACAGGAAATAATAATTACACACTAAGCAGAATTTCAATTTATTGCACATATGTCATCGATTGTTAAAAAGCTTATTAGTACTTTACAAAATTATCATATAGTTTTTTACATTTAACCATTTACTTTAAATGACTGTCTTCCTGTGATACACACATAAACTGTTTTTAAGAGGATCTATTTGGATATAAAAAATGTCGTTTCTTGTTCGATAAAAATAAATAACTTTATTCATTTTTAAAAAATATTGGAATTTGTGTAATAATAAAATTAATTTCTGTAAATTTTAAATAGATTAAAAAAAATATTTGAAGTAATTTCTTAATAAAAATAAATATAGAAGACAAATTTTTGTTTCTAATCACATTTAAAAGCAATGTGTTCGTATTTGATTGGCCGAATAGACACATAAACGGAAATGATGGAGGTCACGGTGTCAATTTAGGGTCGAGCTTATGCTTCTGTCCATTTGGCTCTTTCTCTCTTTCTGTCTGTGAACCGTGGCACATGGTATTCTCGATGTTGTGGGCGCGACGTAAGCTACATGTATACAGGGTGTTTAGTTATTAAGTCACCCCACAGGGTCGTTTCTCTGACTTCCTATACGCCCTCTCGCAATCGCTGTGGGAATAGGGAACGCGACATTCTCTATCAGTGCCCTGCAGAATCGTTGTTGTAATGATACTTCGCAGGACCCTGTGACGACACTATAAAGATCGTTTCATGGCTTCCCAACGCTATCGAACTCCGTAGAATCGCATGCAGATTATAAGCCTCGTGTGAAGGAATTCTTTTTAATAAAATTGAGATGCGCCCAATCAACCGAAAAATCAATATTATCTACCATTTTTGGATTTTTGCTGCGATATTATAATATTAATTTAGTTGTATATAAATTAAGAAAGAATTATGCTGTTGTATAGTATATTGCTGTTTTTGTGCAATATGTTTGTGGTGAATCTCTTATCTTCAATTTAAAAGTGCAATTTTGTTAGAAAAATTTAATAAAATGTCATGTAACTAAGACAATTTTTTGCACATTTCTTATTTCGCAAAAATTACATTTAATAATAATTATATGTTATACATATATTAGTATTTAAATAGAAAAAAATAATATTATCATAATTTATAACCTTCACAAATTTACAATTGTGTGTGTGTGTGCCTTGCAAAATTCAATATTTATTTACAATTGCTAGCACTATAAAGGTAAAGAATTTTGAAATATTTGTGTTGTGTGTTGCTGAAAGATTTTAAGAATTAGCGTTATAAAATAACAATTCTGATGATAGATGGTGTATGAGGCTGTTCGCGACATCGCAGTGGGTGAAGAACTTCTTCTGGGCCTTCGGGAACCGCTTCAGCTGCAGGACATGTTGGGTGAGAATACAACCGAGGACAGAAGCGATCGAGAAACTGGTGAGCATCTATAAGTTACAAGAACCAGAAACAACTCCAGATTTATTTCTTTAGTCTTTCTACGAATAAAGCTTATCTGTTCAAGTAGTTTAGACAATACCGAAAGAAATTGTTTTAATTTACAATAGAGTTGAATAACATTTTTTTCTATCGTTTTGTACAAATAAATGTATAAACGTAACTTCTTTAACATCAATAAATTGGATGATATTGTTATTTAAAAACGTTAAAATATCATTAAACATTCCGTTTAATTCCGTTAAAGGCTAAACAAATAAGTCGAATTAACAATCCAAATAAAACAAAAAATAATGCACAGCATGTTTTATTCTTGAGGAGTAATGTCTACAAAAAATGAAAGAGAACCGAAAATACGATATAAAATAATATTCAGATGGCCGGCAAGATATCGGCGTTACGATCGTTTCGGCATGGCTTTACGACTTTCAGTGCCGATATACATCGCTCGATACACGTTAGCAGCTCGTGTGCGTACAATTACGCGTATGAACGCAAATGAATGGCAGGGGCAGGTGTTTTCCGAAACGACGAATCGGGGGCGGGCAGAGGGTAAATCGTGGATCGTTGTGTGCACGAGCTGCTCGTCATGCACCCTTGACTTTGGCGTGATTCACCTGGTCGGCCGTTGCGTATTAACCCCCGTCAGGTAATAAGCGCTGATTATTTGCAGATAGACGTGTTCGAGTCACATGTCTCCGTGCCCCGTGTCGCTTCGACTTTTGTCTAAAACCATCCTTTTTGTTCATCGCTGTATACGAACAAAACTACTGCGCGTATAGTTATGAAAATTAAAAATTATCTTTCATTTTTTATAATTAAAATTATTATTATTTGTTTATAAAATTGCATAAACTGATAATGTACACATTTGCATTGTATAATAAATGTAAAATGATTTTTTGAAGTCAACTTCTCAAAATTAATTTTAAACCTATTTTATTGTGTCCGTTTAATTTAGGTGATCGATCGTTGGATTTTATTGTGTGGACAATTGTGCCATTAATATATCTAGGATATATATTTACAAAGAAGGATAGCGTCTACGTGCCTCACTGCTCGACAATTATCTAGTTGTAACTTCTGCACGATGGTCAAAATCTGGATGATGACTTGGTAGGGTTGGAGGGTTATATGCGACACCCAGATGTCGCGACAATTAAAACCGGGCTTATTGTCGAAGTTCTGCCGTTACAGAGTCTACGGTTAATTCGCCTACAGTTTTTCATCGTAATTTTAGGAAATGTTCATAAAATGCGTCTTTGTGCGTGGAAGATACATCGTTCGTATTAATAGGTTTATTACTAAATTTTCCTTTGACAAAGCCAGTAAAGATAAGTTATTATTAGTCAAATGTCTTTCACATAAAAGTTTCTATCGAAAAGAAAACCGATATTTAACTTTACAAAAAGTTCAATGAAATTTGAAATAAATAACATTCTTCAATGTTTAACATATTTCTGATAAAAATATAATGAAATATATTTTTTAATGTAGAGTTCTACTTAAATTTTTTTCACTCGTACAGATGCATAAAAAGTAATAAATATGCATAAGAAAAAAATATCACATATTTTGTTTATTGTTCATTAACATACATACACCTATATAAAAATTTAATAAAATAAATTTTGTTAAATATTGAATTAAAAAAAAATTTTTTTTAAAAAAAGATAATAATATTGTTTCTATCAAATGAAATTATAAAGAAAAATGTGTTCCACATGTATTTATTTAAATAGAATAATAGATTCCAAAAGGGAGACGCAGTTTTATGAGATAGCTCTAACAGTCGAAAATTAGAGTGGTAATTAAGTCGCGAGTCTACCGATAATGTTACTTTCTTAAAATTAATTTTGAAATTAGGAACTTTATTTTTACGATAATGGACAGATTAGGTCGCGGAAGAAATTGCATGTATTTCCTTTACTTTATATTAATATCATAAATTCTCTGTAAAATAATTATTCTATTTTAGTCAATAATAAATATTAAAATTTAATATTTATGCAACAATTTATATTTACATAAGTTATCCGTAAATTTTACAATTACTTAATTCATTCTAAATTGTCAGAGAAGCATTAGATAATAATTATGATTATTGTTACCATCTATAATGATTCCGATTCTACATATCTTCTTGGTAGACATGTAATTTTATGCATTTAAAAGAGATTAATGTCGACTTTAAATGGCTTAAGAGTGGTACTGGCGTTAATCCAGTAAAGCCATTTTTATGAGGAAATCTCCTCCAGAGAGCAAGCTGGTGCGTGCAAGCAGGAATAATGATGTCAAACAAACGACGTACGCTCCGTATCAACCCTTGCGAAGGGCATCTGCGCCGCGTTTCTCCCTCGGACGGATCATTTTTTTCGCGGGGAAAGAGACGGGGAGCAAGGGAAAGCGAAGGAAAAAGATGCGAGGAATCATTTTAACACGCCTACGTGGGGTGCGCGTAGCGAGGCATTCAACTGGAGTTGTATGTTAACTTAATCTCGTAGACGTACAAACATATATATATATATATATATATATCTATACCAAATATTCACATTAAAAAATTTATATTCGCCTTCAATATTAATACTTTCAATAATAAAATGAGGATATAGAAATATTGGGGATATATATTAAATAAATTTTTTTTAATGTCATATTTTAATTAAGTTAGAAGAAAAGAAATTAACAAATATTAAAATAAGATATATACAAGTAATTGTAATTTATGATGATGATATAATATAATGTTTAATCAGTTAGAGGGAGAGAGAAAGAGAGGGGAGAGTCAGATAACTGTTTAATGTTATATCTGTGTGTTTCTCGACGATACGATACTTATGTTAACTGCAACATTATGACCTTTCCCAGACATTTTTGGACCTACCACGAATTGAGTTGAGGCAATATGGCAGATGCAATTGGGGTATTTACGATGACTTATGGCTGTGCTTATGACTTTCTGCGGTGCTTGTTTTTTTATTGCCATTTTCCCTTTTTTTTTGCGACAGAGAAATGCGTTTGTATCATCGGCGTGTTTTCCGACAGCTCTATTAGGGCAGCGGATAATTTATAGCCAACTATTGTCGATTAACACGCGCATAACCAGGTCTCAGGGATGACCGAAAAAAAGGGCACGGGTCAGAATGAGAAAAAAGGGGTATACGCGCGCATACAAAAGGGCACGCGACACTCTTTCCTGAGGGGGTGGTGTACTCCGAGGTAGGGAGGTGCGTGTGACATGTTACAACCCCATCTGATTCATCGGACTAATGACACATTTATTTGACGTTTGATTCCAAATCGCTACGGTCGCGTGCGACAAATTTTTATTGAAAGATGCAAGCAGATATCGATTTTCCGTTTATTTCATTAAAGGAAAAATATTTTTTTCTTTTAGTTAAATTGTTGAATGTAAAAATGTATGTGTATCATAAAACTTTTATTATTTTAGATTAAGAAAGCGCTTATACAAAATCGTGTATTGTATGAATTTAGCTCAACAAGGATTTATTTCAGTTTCCTTATATTATATCATTTAATACTAAGATTTTAGAAAAGAAAAATTACATATGTAACTTTGTAGATTATATTCATAAAAAATAATTTATGTCGTTTTCGCAGTGATTGCAAGACAAACACGCGATTAACATAATATTTTTAACCGTCTCCATAAATTAAAAAAAAAAACAATTGTTTGATAAAAATGTGTTAATTCAGTCTCATTAAGCTTATAATTTCAATTAAATAAAAAGAAATATTTTCATAATTAAATTGATTTAAAATTTATAGAAACAGGAGAATGTAATAGAGTACCAATACTCTTCTTTTCTCTCATAGATAGAAGAGAGAAAATAGATTTATTTCGATATATTTATTGATTTATTTTAATGATGTTGTTTAAATTGTGGACGTCACGATGCAGCAAGAACATTGATTTCCGTTACTTTTTCCCATGCAACTGCCAACTGACTACTCGACCGCGGGGGGTGTTACCAGTGGATCCCACCTGTTGACTTTCCGCAACGTGACTTTGCTACTCCTTCTACGCGATTAACATAATACTTTTAACCGTCTCCATAAATTTTAGAAAAACGATTGTTTGATAATATGCAATATACTTAATTACAATCTTTCTTTCAGAGCTATGTGTGGAATTCTTATAACGAAAATATTAAGAAAAAGATAATTATGTTTATTATGCTGTATTTATAATTTATTTTTATATTATATATATTGATTGACGGAAAGTTATTTTCTCTTATTTATGTACCTTATATATAAATTATTCATGTGAAAATTTTGTAGTGCTAATTGCACCAGAAAAACTTTACATATATTAAAAAATTGTTTTTAAGATAAATTCGATTTTCTTTTATGTCCTTTCTATTTTATTCAAATCAGTATTTTTTAAATTATATTATCATATTTGAATATTATTTTATATCGATTTCTTGAGTACATTCTTATTTGTTAGTTATTATATTAATTTGTTTTTTTTTATTTAAATCGTTTTCTCACAATACTGCGTTCCACTCCCAACGACTATCCAGAGGGTAACGGAGGTCGACCGCATCTTTCATTGTCTAAATTCACGGCGTGCCGCTACGAATTAGTCGTGGAGAGAGAAGCGATTAACGTACTATAGGGGGTTAGCATGGCGTTGGGCGTAGTTGGTGGTACGGGGGTTGTGCCCGGTTCCCATGAAGGTCCGTTGGGGGCCATCACTCGACCATATGGTCGGAACAAGTGTAGCGGCAGATTTAAATAACCGTTGGAGGTCGGATACCGTTTAAATTTGAGCGAAATCTCACTTATACTCGTAATACAAGGAGATTAAAATAATTTTTCAAAATTAACTTTTAATTTTTATAAGGACACAATCTGCTTTATTAAATTCCTTTAATTATTATTATTAATTATGTCTACTTTTATGTTTTTAAATATTTGTACACAGACAAATAATCAATGTAGATAAGTAAATTTTTGCACACAATTACTTAATATATTTATGCGTCGTACTTCGCCAGCATTTATGTTGTTCAATCGTTAATAATCGTATTTTGTCTCCTTCATGGGTTTCTGATTTTACCTGCCGTTGCGCTCTGATATTCGGGGGTGAAATGCCGCTGGGGGCTGTCGGGACTTACCTGCGATTGGCTAGTCTCCAACGTCGCTTGTACCAATAGCAAGCGATTCTGGACACTCCCGTTTGCGTTTGCAGTTACTGAACGGTATACCCCTAACTAACGAAAACATCATTGTGTCTATTGTCTTCGCGATCGCTTGTGTGTCGGATCGTACTTGTTGAAAAGGAAGAGGTGACAGTGTAGTGAAATAACTTGAACTGCGTTATACCTAAATCTATTTGATTTTATAAGCGTGTTATAATAGACGGTAAATGTTAATCAATATTTGGCAGAGAGATCCATTAACTGGATGGTAAATATTTTATAAAATGATACCTATTTTTATTTAATAAATTATTTTATTTATTTTATTGAAACAACTATTAGAAATTGTCGTACGTTTTAAATTAATTTATAATGAAAAAGCGATATGCGATTTTGATTACCTGAATTCCGAGAATAAATGTAATTCATGTTAAAATCACGTTTAAACTAATTCCGTATCAAATTAATTAATAAAAATGAATCAATATTAGTGCAAATTTGTACACGAAAATTATTTAACAGCACCAAAAGCGTATAATTACGTAAATATTGTAATACTAATTGAGTAGTTTGGCATGAACTTTACGAGTTTGTCGAAAATTATTTTCACTATTTCTATAAAACTAGTTAAAATAGTTAAATCAACGTCGAATTCTATAGAACATCGATGTCTTCGTTATAAAGATCAAGCGATACTGCTGTTTTAATTTAATAATTCAGAAACAATCCATGAGTCCACTTGTCACGCCACTCCTGTGTCCCTCGCGCGGTTCTGGATCACGTAATTTGCCCACACCATGATACATCACGTATCATCGTTTGCAAGGGGTTGCAATTTATAGAGCTATACGACTACTCTCACATATATACACATACACAAATCGCGAGAAAATTGCGAGTTTTACTCACGCTATCACTGGCGTGTCGAGAACACTTGTAATCTGCGTTATCGTATTCGTCATTTACAGCCTCTCAGCACAGTGGAACTGTCGATGAGGACAAAGAAGACGAAGAGGAAGGAGAAACGAGGTGTACTGTCTGTGACAAGCCATTCCAAGATATCGAATTGTAAGCTCTCTTACGCTATGATTGTTTTATTTCTCTAAATAGATCAGAAAAAACAAGCAAAGATAATTTTTTATTTGAATCCCGTAAAAAGATATATTAGAGACACTATATACAAGTACATAAAAGAAGTACCAAGTATTTATATGTTTTATTTATTATTAAAATAATTATTTATGAAAGATTCAAAACAATCTGTTTTTTTTTTCATTTCACATAGAGAGAAATATTGTGCTTTAATAATATTAATATTTAAAAAATGAAAAAATAATTTCTAGGTTCCAAAGGCTAATGAGCCAAATTGGTTCTATACGTTAGAATGTATAAAAACAAAATATAAATTAAAATAAAAGTGGATATTATATGTAATAATTGTTATTTCACATTTCGATAATATCTCGGAGACATTATTGTACACGTGCGATAATTAAAATTTGCATTTCTGTTTGTTCAACATTACTATATTTTTATGTTATTAATTTCCTCAGTGCTCAGAGGATGACCTTATTATACAGGTTGAAACAGGTTTCGTTATAATTTGGCTTTTATTTTAATTTATATTCTGTTTTTAATATACATAAACTACACTTTGAAAAAGATTGGCTACTGCAGCAAATTAGATGGTAAAATATGGTATAGCATTTTTAATTGGTTGCAGCAGCCAATTTTTGGTTGCTTTATCCTATCCGTAATGTCAATACAGGATTTCAATAAGTCAATGGAACCAAAATTAGCTGTTGCAACCAATTAAAAATGTTATGTCATATTCAGCCATCAATCTTTTCTTTCAGTGTAACACGTATAACTAACTCGGCTCATTAGTCTCTTTATTATCTTTGACTATTATTATATATTTATATTTATATTTAGTTATTAATATATTGATGCCAAATTTACTCTCATTTAATGCTGATGTTATTTTATACATTATTTAAGCACATTCAAATTTTTATGATTTGTTGGTGTTTAAATATTATAATTTTATTACTAAATTGAAGACAGAGCAATTGTTTTCATTTATCGTACAGTTGCACGTATCCTATAAAAATTCTATAATCATGAAACTTCTTTATTATCACATTTTCATGCATTTCATTATCTAAAGATTATTATCGTTGGCGCGACGATACACAAAGCGCGACTCATCAAGGATTCATGGCACATCATTATACGCTTTTCAAATCAGATGTGCGACGATTATGTGCTCAGTAAAGCGACACGCCGGATCGAAATCGAAAGATAACAGCTCGACCGACATTAAAGCGCTTGCCGCGTCCGTCGATTTTCATCATCAATTATTAATTAATCGATGGAATTCAGAGAGTGGGTGCCACGTAATCGCCTTCAAATCTCGGGGTTAGTAATTCGCGTTCGCGAAAGCCTTTTGTCACGCGAACGACTTCAAGAGTGCTCTTTGGAGACCTGAGCATTTTGAGACTCCTTGGTCGATTGAAAATGATGCTTAGTCAGCCTTCTTTCTGTCTCGCGGCCACGTCATTGTCTTTAATTAGAAAATAATTAGCATAAAGTTACGGAAAATAATGTTAAATATATATGTTTTATAAATTATTTAAATGTATCCAAATCTTATGATTTTTCGTGAGTAGGAATCATAATTTTGTCACTAAATATTTCATATCTCATTAATTGCAAACTTTATCAAACATTATACATTTTAAATAAATATATTAGTATTTCGTATTTGTAAATAGTATATAGTCTTCACAATTAAATGTTTTTTCTTCACTAATGAATTTTTACCGATATCTTGTGACTGAAAATAATATAGGTATTGTTTTTTCTCACGTTTGCTCTTTTTGATGGTGATGAGTTTGTGTTGCTCTTTTGTTCAAAACTTGGTTATCTTCTATTTACAATCAATTTTATTTATTTTAAAATATATAATACATTTCTTTTATAATCAGCAAAAAAAATTTATGTTATTAAACATAAGTCAAAGAATAGACATATTAAAGTGTCGAGTAAAGTTATCTGTCCTCGTTCTTGTTTCTATGTCGATATTTCGATATCTATACAGTTCTCGTTCTCTCAGTCGAGATCAAACCGCATTCCCTGACGCGGCAGATTCACCTGTTGTGGGGCGTTAAACCCTTCACCGGGATTCATAATCGGACGCGCTAGAGCCACCCCCTTATGCATCATCGAAGGCGTCGCGTGCTCGTAGCTCATCTAGCGTAGCGCACGGTCTTGGCACCATGAAGGCACTATCTCACCACGAATGGGTTTCACACGGCGCGTGTGTTCGGGGGTGTAAAATCAATGCTGTGGCACACCATCCCGTGTGACGATAACCCGTGTGCCTACTACGTGACAATCCCCTTGGAACGGCTTTTCTTCGTGACGGCGTGTGTTCGTGCGCGACGACCGCCCTCTTCTTCATGGGTGTGCGACCGTTATTGCAAAGCCGGCTCGCCACTGTGCAGTCGAAGTCACTTAGTCATCATCTAAGACTGCGCTCGACACAATCTTTGTCGGTGCAGGTTGGTTACTGTATTACATCCTGCTTGCCCGATGTGGTTCTTTGATTAAATATCGTTAAACTTCGCGGACGAGGTATAAAGAATAATGCTCAACGATATTTTCACATGGTGGTAACAATTATTGTCATTCCGTCAAATATTTAATCTAAAATTTTTGAATTTTTGAAAATATTAATTATGAAAACACTAGTATTCGCTCTTCTTTAAAATTATACGTGGTATAATAAAATTATATGTACCATGCTTATTACGAGCTCCAGCTCTCATCTTTTTAAAAAAATATTTTACTGCTTATAACGCAGCGAATGAAATATTTGCATCTGTTATTTCCAGATTGGATAGCCACCTGGTGACTTGTCACAGATACCCAGCGGAACAGCACCGTTGCGACAGCTGTCCTCGCGCTTACGCTTGGCGGCCGCTTCTGGTGCGGCATCGTGCTATCGTTCACGGTGATCTCAGGAACTATCCCTGCGAGAATTGTCCGAAGGTAAGCTTCAAATTCGTGCTTTATTTATCGAAACCGGACAATATCTTTTGATCCAGTAGCATCTTCTAGTATCGCTAAAAGTCGAACATTCGGCAGGTCTTCACGGACCCATCAAACCTACAACGTCATATCAGAACGCATCACGTGGGAGCGAGGAGCCACGCTTGCACGGAGTGCGGCAAGACCTTTGCGACTAGTTCCGGCCTGAAGCAGCACACTCACATTCACAGCAGCGTGAAACCCTTTCAGTGCGAGGTCTGTTTTAAGGCGTACACGCAGTTTTCCAATTTATGCCGACACAAACGCATGCATGCTGACTGTCGCATGCAGATCAAGTGTGGTAAATGCGGACAGTCCTTCAGCACGGTAACATCATTATCGAAACATAAGCGATTTTGTGATTCCACGACTCCAACCGGTCCACCTGGAACCATGCCTCAATTACCGACGCCAGCAACAAGCCCTTTTCTGGTGTACCCACGGCCTCCCGTAAGCTTACCAGGTGGTTTACCTTTTTATCCGCCTAGTCTGATGGGTCCCTATCCAGGAATTTTCCCAAATGCTCCGAATTTTTTAAACACACCTCTACTTTTTCCGCCGAAAATTGAAGAGGCCGAAAAGAGAAGCGACAGTCCCAAGAAGGAACGTTTTACTCCACCGAGAATATTGTCGCAACACAATAAGGTCTCTCCTTCCACTGCGGAGGAAGCCACTTCTACGTTTAGGCCATCTCCGGCTAGACCTCCGGTTCAACCGACGCCGGAGAGTGACGATGATCTATCAAAGAGAAAAGAAGCTGCTAGAAATAATGAACGAAAAATAGAAACCGAAAGCACCTCGAAGGAGGAGACGACCGAGCAACCATTGGATTTAAGGGTACAGACTAAGAAGCAAGATGCGATTTCGAAGGTTGCGTATAGAAAAAGCCGCACACCGTCCCCAGCACCAATACCGATGCAGGAAACGCCCGCACCTCCCGATCCTCCGAAACCGGAAGAGGATACCGTTGCGCCACCGTTGATGGAGCTCGAGTCTAAAGACGTTCAAGGAAGTAGTCCGCACTTGAGGACTAGCTTGCCAATCGAACAACCACCGACCAACACACCGCCTCACATGGCTTATCCTAGACCGATACATCCGATGTTTCTCGAAACTATGTATCGCAGTCCAGCGGGAACCTTTCCAGGATTTCCTAGCGCACCACCACCTCCAGGCGGAGCTACCCCAGAATCTAGGCTGATACCTCCACTTCCACCCTTTGCTCCACCGCGCGGGCTTCCTTTTTTAGGCTCGCTTATGAACGGGCTCAGCGGCGCTAGGCCAGGAGCAGGATTCGACCTGCTTGCCCGGCCGCCGCTGAGTGCGTTCCCTGGTGTGAAACCGTTCCAAGAAGCCGTGATGTCGCCCCATCATCATCATCATCATCACCATCATCATCACGTCCACGGCAAGATGAAGGATCGATACTCCTGTAAATTTTGTGGCAAAGTGTTCCCCCGCTCGGCCAATTTAACAAGGCATCTGAGGACTCATACCGGTGAGCAACCGTACAAGTGCAAGTACTGTGAGAGGTCTTTCAGCATCTCGAGCAATCTGCAGAGACATGTTAGAAACATCCATGACAAGCAACGACCGTTCAAGTGCCCGCTTTGCGAAAGATGTTTCGGACAGCAGACCAATCTGGACAGACATCTGAAAAAGCACGAGGCCGATGACGGTAGCGGAGTGGTATCAGTCGCCGACTCGCCTGGGAGCAGCAACGAGAACGAGCGGGAGGACACCTACTTCGACGAGATCAGGTCCTTCATGGGCAAGGTCACTTATGGCAGTGAGAGTGGCTACGGGTCATTGCCGCATCATCCAGCCTATATTCCCAATCGCTTGCACGAGATAAACGAGTCTAAGATGGAGGTCGAATATGACGAAGACGAGGACAGCGAAGAAGGTGTGTCCCCTTTGGAGGAGACAGACGGACTATCGCCGATCGAGGTCAAGGAATCCCCATCGCCCTCGCAGTATGACCTGAAGCTGAGAGAAAAGCAGGAGATGCTCAATAATAATACCGCCGAACCGGTGATCGAGATTTCGACATAGCCCAGAAGTCAGTCAGGGTGATCTACGCGGTCGCTTCGAAAGACGAGGAGTACCCGTTTTTATTAATGTACAGAACTATTGTGGGATATACGTTCGTCTTAGAACTCTCGATTGTAACGGCGTTTCTTCGGAAATATCACGTCAATGCAAGATTACTTAGCTTAGAACGATCCGCGTATCTCGACTTTGCAGAATATCAACCATTTGCTTCTACAAAGCGAACAATTCTCGAGTATAATCGGGTTATTCTCCGTGATCATATTGTGACGCGATACCGTAAATGAAAGACAGCTTATAATGATAATTATAATTACACATTGATATATCCTTACCGGAATTTTTCAGAAGGAATTTAGTAAACCCCATTATACTTGTAAAACAGGTGCTCTGTAAAAAAAAAAAAAAACGTAAAGAAGTCGACGAACAGAAAAGTCCTCAAAGATCCTTGTTACGCTATCCTTTTTTTACACTTCATATTTGTTTGCACTGGAAAAATGTATTGTAAAAATCAACGAATGGACCATTTAGTCCCCTTCTTACACATGCATGTCACAAACTCTTCTATAGTCTAGTTAATATAGTTTCTACAGACTCGTTATAAATGTAAACGCGCACGAAATTCAATATTATCCCAATTCCACCTCTCTTTGTCCTTAGCAACGATTAGACGAAGCGCGTATCCCAGTAATATTATTTATTGCTATTATTATAAATATATAAAGTTAATTTATCGTTATTATTGCACTGTCGCTTGGCAAAAGGATCGTACGTCATAAGCGAGAACAATCAAAGCGTCTCTGCGAAGCTCTGTGAATTGTTAAATGGCTTGCGATGTGTATTTATCTCGACCTAATTACCGATGTTTTTAAATCTTAAAATACCTATATATGTGCGCGCTATTTTTGATTCATTTATTTTTGAACAACACAGTGTTAGTTGCATCGCATTTACAATGCGAACATTTTTCGAGAGTTCGAAATTAGATTATAAAATTCCTATTATAAATAATCGATTCAATCAGTTCGAATTTTGAAGACTTACCCCGAGATTGTTGGATTTTGTTAGAATACAGTTGAACGAAATGACATATTATAGGAGAAAAAATTCCATTTGTTGAATGCAGGATCTAGCTGTGAGGATCTGCGAGATTTAAGAAAAATACATTTTCGCATCGTGTTCGTGTATCAAAAATGATGTATGTTAGTCCACGAAGCCAAAGCGACGAGGAAAAGAAATTAACTTAATTAACGCAACTCGCGTGTAATCACTTACTATGCGCGTTTGCGACAGTGTGTATAATTAAATAATTGGGAGGCAACAAAATCCTTATAAAAAAGAAAATTGTACAAATTTCCACAATTAGGTGATATAACATTTGTAAAGATAAAAGAAAGAAGTTTCAACGCGATTTTTATTAATATATAAATATGATTATAGAACGATTCTTTTCTTGCGGATAGGCAAGACAGAAGATTTATGTAAGCTAACGAATGTTCCTCGCGTTTCACTCATCTAGTAGAATTATTAAAATGCGTGTCCCTAATGTGAATCATCGATGAAGCGAGGAAATTAACAATGACAGATAAGCCATAGTATACGCGTATACATGTGTACCAAGTACGCGATTAATAAAAAATGAAACAAAGAATATATCGTTCGTTTGTAATCACCGAGTTGAGGCTTGTTCTTTCACATAAAGGTTTTACGAATACACGTTCTACATATCTCTGTTTCTATCTTTCTCTCTCTCTCTCTCTCTCTCTCTCTCTCTCTCTCTCTCTCTCTCTCTCTCTCACTTTCATTATAGACTATAATAAACTTATAAAATGATTAAGCATAAATATATTGAACGAATTACTTAAGGAAAACTATATTATGACGCTGTCTATCTATACATACTGTATAAAGGCATCCTGTAACTTCATTATGATTAAAATATTACACTTCAAGTTGGTTACCTAAGCGATAATGCCACCTATCGATTTTCCTTTGCCTTGTACTCCTTAATAATTAATAAAATCTTGATTTAATAATACCTGATAGATTAAAATTTGGTATATTACGCGGTTTTAACAAGTAAACGCAAATAAAATGTATATAAAATAGAAAAACAATACTGTATCTTTTTTGAATAATTATATGTGCAGTAACCGTTAATGCAAAGACAGAAGAAATAAAGTAAATTAAAAATTTTACTTTTTAAAGAAAATATAGACACTTTTAAGACAAGCTCTTTCAATAACTATTAAAAATATTAATAATTAAAAAAATTATTAATACCTAATAATTATATTAAAAATATTTAGTTTTCATAAATTACATATTATATTTTACTATTTATTTCAGTAGTAAGCAAAATAAAAATCATAAGAATAAAAATAAAAATGAAGATATCTTCTATTTTTTTATTAATTAAAACAATTTCAAGATTAACAATTACTTCTTTATATATTTATTTCATTTCTGACAAAATATGGCGTACTTCAATTTTTACAATTACAAGAGTCAATGCAATGGTATTTCTTCAGTGCTCGCCCTATATTGACTTGTGCTGCGCTCTGGTACTGCACACTTATAAATAACTTGGTATTTATTAAATTACTGTAACTAAATTGCAAATTTTGTGAAAATATAAAATAAGTGCAACAAAATGCATCTGATTTATGTTTTTTATTAGAACAATTTGAAAATTTACAAATAGTGCTGAGAGACTTCTCTTTTATCGACGATAAATAAGATCTGCTCTAAAGGCAAGATGCGCTGCAGCAGTTGATATCCATTCATCCTTGAAACGCTAGATTACGCTTTATCCTGTAACTCGTATTATTTGACCATAATTTTTTTTTATAAAATAAAAAAAAGGTAAATCTTTAAAATTAAAATAATAAAGTGGAAAAAGTTATGAAAACTATTTCCATCTCTTTTTGCAATTTTAGATAATATTGATCTCCATGACACGTTAGAATAACTGTAACTTTTATTATATTATTAATTTAATATTTAATTTAAGAAAATAAAAAACAAATGTTGTTATAAAATGGAGGAAAATTCGATAATCTTTCGGTGATTAGATAAGTTAATTGACGAATAACCTGGCGTTGAATTAATGAAGGTTGAACTTTGCCTGTACGATCGTTTGAATCGATCTTTGACGCCCACTCGATCCGACGTATTATCGTACACCATTCGATTCCATTCAAGTCTGTCTGACTGAACAACAATGTTCGCACGTACACTATACAAATTCTTATCGTTGAATCGTCCAAGGAAACAAGTAAATGTCACTGCGAGTAATTTGACGGTGTGTAACAGTTATCACTCTAATAACATCATTTAGTTGAATTGCATTACAAATACAAGCGTTTATTTCTGTATAATTATATATTATATTGTAAATTAATAATTTTACACATAATGTCATTCTATTTATATTTATGTAAAAATTTAGCACTTTCAGTCTCATTTATAAAAACTATATAATCGTTAATCACTTGTTATATTTTATATTATTGATATGTAATTAAGCATTATTATCTTTTTGCATCCTCATGCTGCACGGATCTTGGTTGCACGTAAGTACCAAGGTGATAATATTGTTATGTAAGGATATTGCGGAAGAAACGAATAACACGCTCTTTAGTTCACGCTTTGATAAAATAAAAAATCAAATTAATATTCTCGTTACACGGCTTAATAATATCTACTATTTCAGCTACGAATCTATTTAGATTCTTTAGAGTTCTTTAGAGATAATTATACAGTCTTGGTTTAAATAAGCATTATTTAGGTAATCTAAACAAGTTTCTGATCGCAAAACGTTTAGGTAAGTATTATTTAGATAATCTAAACAAGTTTCTCTGGTCGCAAAGCAGAAGTGAACGCAGTTCCAAAAACAAACCAACGACTCCGGCAATTTCACGAAATTCTATCGCAATTTGTTACAATTTTTAAAAATATTTTACCTTTTATTAATTTGCACAAAAAGCGCATCAGTCCACGTGTCGGTAAACCTTGCAGCTTGATTCGATCGCAAGAAGAGTACCATCTTCATCAACAGAATTGTAAAAAGTTGATATCCATGCCATATAACTCATCACGACGTGAAGTAAAGATTTTTTTGCCGCGCTAATGAAGGGCACTGACGAGGTAATCAAGAGGCGCATAGGTAGAGAAAAAGAAGAAAATACTTGTATTTTATATGGAATTACAAGATAGGAATTTGATGTATTTGGATAAAACTATTATTAAAAAAATATGAAAATATTAATGATTTATATAATTTATACTGTAATATCAATAAGAGACAAGGTAGTATCTCGCGCCGTGAACGCGCAGCGCGAGATGCACCGTACCTCTTTTACGCGAATCGACGAGTTGCGAACGATCGAGAGTATTGGATCTTATAATAACGATTGAACCGATCAAGTTTTATATTATATTAACAATATCATTATAGGCATAAAGAAGTTAGCATTTGGATTTCAGTTTTGAAATAATTACTTTGATATAGTTTGAAAAGTAGGTTTGTGTGAAATAGATTTGGAAAAGTTATTAATGATCATGTTTATATAAAATTTATGACTTAATTATACAAAATTACAATATAAAATAATATTTAATTTATTTTATAATAAAATAAAGTGTACCTACAATATTTGTTTTACCAGAAAATGTGAATATAAAATTCATCATATAAACATATTCGACATGAAATTTAATCTATAAATAGACATTAAGTAATTTAATCTGATTTTATATGGCGAAAAAATATATGTATAATAGATCAATTACACTTCAATTTTCTTCTGTTGTAAGATGGTCAGTAAATATAAAAAATGTCAAGAAGAACTTGCGTTTTCGGATAAAAAGATTATCAATCGATCTATACTGGAAGTATAGATCAGTATAGCGTTTTCAAAATCTGATAGCGTGATCGACGATCGTGTGACTGAAAGCTATGGATACGAATAGAAAAAAAGGAAACTGTGGAAAGAATAGGAAGGCACGAGAGGATTTCTTTGTTGCGAGAAGGAATCGGACGGCTCTCGTTTGTAACTGCAGAACGCGGGAGATAGAGGTATCAGCGATTGCTCCGAGCCACAAAAGAGCGGCTCGAGACAAGCGCGAGCGAGCCTACAACGGCATCGATGAGGCAATAATTCTACGCGCCAACGAACATTATTGCCAACGTGACGTTGACAAAAACGGCCGAGCTAATCACGAAATTCCACGCGGTTGCCGGTCTCAGAGCGGACCCGCGCGTTTAGAAAGTGAAAAAAATCGTACCGGCTCGATCGATCGACTAGCGATAGATCGATAGCACGTCGCTAATAGCGCTCCGCTATCTATTATCTATGATTTTTGATGGAAGCTTTAATTAAATCTGCGACCGCGAAATTTCTTATTTCAGTTGCGCAAATAGGAGCGATTTATTCTCGACTAGATACAGATTAAGTAAGAATTAAAATTGTGTATGATTATTTTAATTGCACGCGATAGAGCTAGGCAGACAAATTTTTCCAGCCGGTAACGTCTCGACAAAGCAAAAAAAAAAAAAGTGAAGATGGCGACGTAACTCGCAGCATGCAAATGATTTATTTTCGGTATACAGGTTCCAAGATTGACTCGAGGCGCGTACTTATTGGTTACGCTCGCGAATTAAATGAGTATACCTATCCGCGAGCGCACCGATCTTGCGAATCCCGTCTTGCTTGGGATATCAGACTCTCCTTTTAGGATACCAACCGACCAGCTATGTCGAGTGTTGCACGCTCGTTTTTCTTATTTCTCATCTCGGCACGTCGCGCGTCTCCTTTCATTTTAACGCATGATCGCACACCCGATCTGACCGGCGCAACACACCCACCGATCTCTAATCCCGCCGTATATAC